ACCTGCCTTGGCTGGCCTGGGGCCTGTAAGCTGGAGGCAGTTCCTGCATTGACTATCTACCCCGTGGTGGTCAGTGTACATCATAGTGACCAATCATTCCACCAGTCATTCCTCTGTTCAGTCTATTAGGCTTTTATTATATAGGATAATAAGGCATTTCTTTAGAAAACTCTACAGGGTCAGAGACAATTATTTATTTTCTTGACAAGTGGTTATATCAAGAAATGTAAGTTTGCACCTTTGTCTTTTCTGTAGAGATATTGTGATTACATTTTATTTTCAAAAAACACTATTTTTAAAATATGTGTTTTATTTATTTTAGAGAGTGAAAGTGAGAGGGAAAGATAGAAACACCAATGAGAGAGAAACATTGATCAATTGGCTGCCTCTACTGGGGTTGAGCCCAAACCTGGGCATATGCCATGACCAGGAATCAAACTGTAACATCGTGGTTCATGGGTCAATGCTCAATCACTAGGCAACACTGGCCAATCATCTCTACTATTTTAAAATCTGGAAAGTTTATTAAATTTTTTTAAATATTTTATTTTGTTGGCCTTGTCTGGACTCTAGCGTCATTTTATATATTTGGCTCTGTTACTACACTTTCCTATTTTTTGTTGACTTGAGGATCCTAGGAAAAATAACACAGAAAATAATTTAATTTATAAATTTAAGATAATTACTATATCAGAGTGGCAGGTGATTTAGAAAATCAGCTTGTCTTACATAATACAAGAAACTATGTGAAATTCTTAGATTATTGGTTATTAAATTATCACAATGTGTTTTCTTTTAAAAGTATGCTTTACCCTAAATGAGCCTTCTGTAATGCAAAGATATTTCCATACTCTTGTAAAAACCCTCACTATTAATTGTTTATCCTTGTTAATATAAAAACTTTATCCTACAGATGGGTAAAACTATATGGATCTTAGTTTTTCAACTGACTTATTTTGCATATGTGGGATATAAAAATAAAACTTATAGATGAAGATTTAAACAGTATGGTGGTTACCAGAGAGAAGGGGTTAGACTGTCGAGTCTAATAATTACAGGCTGATGTTGTTCCTTGTGACTAAGCCCCTAGAGGAACGATAAAGGGTAAAGAAGGCCAAATAGCTGAGACCGGTTTGGCTCAATAGATAGAGCGTCGGCTTGGGGACTGAAGGGTCCCGGGTTCGATTCTGGTCAAGGGCATGTACCTTGGTTGCGGGCATATCCCCAGTAAGGGGTGTGCAAGAGGCAGCTGGTCGATGACTCTCTCTCATCGATGTTTCTAACTATCTTTCCCCTTCCTCTCTGTACAAAATCAATAAAATATTTTTTTTTAAAAAAGAAGGCCAAATATATGGTGACAGAAGATAATGTGACTTTGGATGGTTGGCACACAATGTAACATACAGATCATATATCAGAAAAAGGTACACTTGAAACCTATATAATCTTATTAACCAGTGCCACCCCAATAGATTTAATAAGTAAAGAATAAAACAAAAATATTATCATTTTTCCTTTATTGTGTGTATTAGAATCTAGTGATATAATTTTGATTATGGTTCTTTTTGTTTGTTTGTTTTTTAGATTTTTAAATGAAAAATCCAAAGAGAAATAAGTACTTTCACACCATAGTAAATTGGTGGTAGAAAAAAAATTTTTATCTTTCATAGTTACTGTGTTATGGGATATGAGGATACATATTTAAATATGTCCATAAGATGACTTTTAAAAGAAATAAAAATACGTTATCTTGAAAAAACTTAAATGCTTATAACAAAAACATATTTAATGATCATTCCACCCTTTTCAATGACAGAAATACATTTGGTTTTTCATAAAAATAGCTTCAAATAATCTTTTTTAAAAAGTTTTAAGCCGAAACCGGTTTGGCTCAGCCGTAGAGCGTCAGTCTGCAGACTGAAAGGTCCCAGGTTCGATTCCGGCCAGAGGCATGTACATTGGTTGTGGGCACATCCCCGATAGGGGGTGTGCAAGAGGCAGCTGGTCGATGTTTCTCTCTCATCGATGTTTCTAGCTCTCTATCTCTCTCCCTTCCTCTCTGTAAGAAAATCAATAAAATATATTTTTTTAAAAAGTTTTAAGTTAAAAATATATAATTTTGTTACCAAAAGACTTGTATGCATACTTATAAACATAACCAATGGACAGAGACAGCAGGGGGGTGAGGACATGTAAGAAAATCAGGTAGGGGGGTGTGGACACATCTAATACCTTACTCAATAAAAAATAATTAAAAACAAAACAAAAATAGGCTGAAGCCAGTTTGGCTCAGTGGTAGAGCGTCGGTCTGCAGACTGAAAGGTCCCAGGTTCGATTCTGGTCAAGGTCATGTACCTTGGCTGCGGGCACATCCCTGGTGGAGGGTGTGCAAGAGGCAGCTGGTCGATGTTTCTCTCTCATCGACGTTTCTAGCTCTCTATCTCTCTCCCTTCCTCTCTGTACAAAATCAAAAAAATATATTAAAAAATAGCTTTTAATATCAATATTCCTTTGCTACAAATAAAATGTAAGAGTATTTTTTATAAAGATGCAAGTAAAGCAGATCAATTTACTGTTTAATTCTAAAAAGTCACAAATAAAAATATTTATCATTTAAAAGCTAGCTAGCTAAATCTAAGTCATTAAAATAGTGATTATATTTTCAAGAGACTAATCAGTGCTTAATAAAAGATACTGTTGGTTGCCAATGGAAGAAATATTACAGATAAATTAAATTATAGATTCTTTTTTTTTTCACCAAAACTGCATTTTCTAGAATTTTATAATATTAAATAATAAAAATAACTTTAAATATTTGTTCATTGTTTACTTAGTGATGGACAGTAAGTGCTAGATGTGTCAAATAGCCTATTCACAATAAACTTTTCATAATCCATGACCCAGTTTGTGGTGGTGGTTGTTTTTTTTGTTTTTGTTTTTGTTTTTTCTGACACCACATCCAGTGCATTTAAGTACAAAGCCAGACTTCATACTTTGAAAAATGGGATGGGATGCCTATAATGGACCAGATATATCATCATTGATATGGAAGATTTATTGCTTACAAATACTACTTGAAAGCACAAAGGTCATAGAGTGAATATATCCACAGGAGCAAAAGCCCAATTGAACATATATTTTCAACTATTCTTTTTTGAGCTTTGGTTGCTGAATCAGGTGCAGTAGAGCCAAAACTACTACCGATAAAGTGAATGTTGACAAGGGACTTAGTCAATCTGTACAAAAATATATTAGCATTCAAAAAGTGTGATGTATTGCCAAAACCGGTTTGGCTCAGTGGATAGAGCATCAGTCTGCGGACTGAAAGGTCCCAGGTTCTATTCTGGTCAAGGGCATGTACCTTGGTTGCAGGCACATCCCCAGTAAGGGGGTGTGCAAAAGGCAGCTAGTCAATATTTCTCTCTCATCGATGTTTCTAGCTCTCTATCCCTCTCCCTTCCTCTCTGTAAAAAATCAATAAAATATATATATTTTTTAAAAGTGTGGTATATTAAAGATTGGCTCAGAAGGTAAATTCAAAGTTAGAGTAACTTTGGATACAGATGTCTTTGAGTCATTAATAAAATGTTTGACCTAAGTTTTAAAAATGTACTTAGAAAAACATATAATTATATAGAAACCTCAAATTTATATCTGTTTCTATGTCTTTCACCCGTGTTCAACATAAATTACTTAGTAAGCATGCCATTATGATCTGGGCTATACATTTCTTTATTATCATTAAAAGAAAATTATAATTTTATAATGTTATGCAAACAAATTTGAACATAATCATATTAAGAATCTGAATAATTCTATAAAATTGTCCTACATGACCCTCTCTTTTCCCTTTAGATAATTGATGATATTAAATTAATATCATCAATTTATTCTGGTTTCTTCCCATTGTGCTTATTTTTCTATCTATATGGTTATAGTTGTGTAGTCTACCCCCATATTCAATCACAGACATGCAATACTAGATTTATTTTTGCTATACTTATCCCTTCATCACTTAGCATATTCCATCCCATTTCCAGTCATCTTTTTCATGGATACTCTCAGTATAGCTTCTGAGATTTCTTGCAAATACATACCAAGGAAGAGTGATTCCCATCATGTCCTACTTTCAGGAAGGTCATAAGTACCATAAATCTGTTATGTTTGCCTCAAGTCTAATATAATCTATTAAAATATTAACTACAAAAATACAAGTACACATTTATTCCAAAAGAATGATTTTTAAAATACGCATACACAGATATTTTTAAAAACATTGTCTTTCAACGCAAAGTGCTTGAAGCCATCATTTTCAAATTTAAATCTTAACACTAAAATAATTCTATAAAGAACATTTATTTAACGCTTTTTTTAACAGGAGTTTTGACTACATTTTCCTTTTTTAAAAGTGATGATCTATTAATGGCTCTGACTTTCTGATAGAATACAGATATGATAATATTCATTATCTTTCCCACAGGGAATCAAGAAGGCTTTTGGAGAAAAGGATCACTTAAGAGTTTTTCATCTAAAATAAATTTGTAAAAAGTAGTTCAAATCACTACTGTGTCAGTTGCTTAAAACATTGTTTGAAAACCAGAGACTACCTCTCAAAAGCCATGACACTGAAGTCTTCTAGAAACTATTCCTTCTTTCTTTCTTTTTTTAAAATTTATTATTTATTGATTTCAGAGAGAGAGAAAGGGAGAGGGAGAAAGAGATAGGAACATCAATGATGAGAGAGAATCATCGATTGGACGCCTCCTGCAGACCCCACATTGGGGATGGAGCCCATATCCTGGGCATGTTCCCTGAACAGGAATTGAACCATGATCACTTGGTTCCTAGGTCAATGCTCAGCCACTGAGCCAAGCTGGCTGGGCTATCCCTTCTTTCTTGTTTTTAGTTGACTATCCAATAACATTTATTTTTGAAGTAACTTTCTAATCTTTTCTAATGTGAACTTGAGTAAAATTATTTTATTGTTATTTTTTTTTAAGACACACTTTTTAATGGCCTTGGGCTCGGAGCAGTCATTGGCCTGGGAGTTGCCGCACTCTTGCTAATCCTTGTGGTAACCGATGTCAGCTGCTTCTTTATTCGGCAATGTGGGTTATTAATGTGCATCACCAGGAGAATGTGTGGGAAGAAAAGTGGCTCCAGTGGCAAGAGTAAAGAACTGGAAGAAGGAAAAGCTGCCTATCTGTGAGTAACAGAGGTCTGCAGACACAACACAGTAAAGGAATGCCAAGGTCAAGCTTAAGTGCTTTCTTCAGGGCTTAGTTTTTCCAGCATAGGGGAGTTTAACAACGAAACCACTGGGCATCAATCCGGTTGCTTTCTGGATCTTAAATCTATAAGACCTTACACATAATATCTTAGAGCCAAATGACTTTGTAAACAGACTATTATATTAACAAATAAACCTGCTCTTGTGCAGGCTCAATCTTTAGTTGGGGGCATGCAGGAAGCAGCAAATCAATGATTCTCAATATTGATGTTTCTATCTCTCCCTCTCCCTTCCTTTCTGAAATCAATACAAATATATATATTAAATAAACTTTAAAATGGAATCCATGGTAAGAAAAAATTACTGTCATGACAAATTTTTTTAAAAAGTTTGATTCATTGATTCGAGAGAAAGAAAGGGAGAGTGGGAAACATTAATTTGTTGTTCCACTTACATATGCATTCATTGTGCCCTGTGTGGGTATTGAAACTGAAACCTTGAAATATTAGGATGATACTCTAACCAACTGAACTACCCGGCCAGGTGCCATGAATTAAATATTGAGAGGTTGATAAACAAGGAGATGATGATGATTGATAGATATAGACAGATAAATGATAGATAAATAGATGATAGATAGATAGATAGATAGATAGATAGATATAGAGGATCATAGAATTACATTTGGTTATGCTTTTTCCCACCATTTCTCAGTTTATATTGAATAAGACTGGCATCAACAGTAACCTAAATTACAAACTAAGTTAAACTGAGTTAACATAAATTGTATCAATGCCAACCATTTTAAGAAGTGACAGCATACAAGTTTCAAGATTCTCTGTATATAAAATGTATGTTCTATGCAATGCCTTATTACATGGACTGAATTTACTCCTCCAAATTTTGATCAAAAGATGACTACTCAGATTTTGATGAATAGGATCTGGGCACACCTGAAACTCCTTTTGACCTTAAACTCCTCTTTGGAAGCCAATAAAATTAAAAAAAATAAAAAGATGACTATATATTATAATTTGGAGTTCTCTGTGGCATTTCATTTACTTAGAAAAATATGAATTCTGAGAAAATATGCAGAGCTGAATTTTATAGAAAATGTCATGAAAGAGTATTCAATTTAATACTGATTTCTGCTTTGTGGTCATTAGATAAATTTGTATCAAATCTCAAATTATAAGAGTAATTAATTCTTTTTATTGTTAAGTTCTTTATGTTGGTTTTTCTATGCATACATTTAGTTATATATGGTCTCATAAGTTACGGTCTAGGCTTTGGGATCTAGAAAAATTCATTATGCATGGCTATATTCTTTTTTATCTTCATGCCTGTTTTAGTATTCCTAATTTGTTTGTAATCATTTCCCATGGATACACTGTTTAGATTTTTTTCACTTCAAGAGATGCTAAATTAGAAAGCTTACATTTTCAATTCAAATAAAATAGATTCAATTTGCAATCAAAATGCCACCTGCTTAATTGTTGGGCACAGAACATAGCAAAGAACAAACAGAAATTAGGCTCTATTTCACATTTGAATTGGATATTAATGTGTGTAAATATACTTGGATCAATTCTCTATTCAATATATTTTGTTTTCTTCATAAGAACATGCTGTGCTTTTACAATGGCTGATTAACTAAATAAGTATCACCAAACTTAGTTTGTTTACTTTTTACATGTTGAGAAAATCATATATTACATAATAATACATATTTACATAAGATATATACAAATATAACCCCTGATGCATCATTTTTTACAATATGTGGGTAATATTTGTTTTCTTCTTCTCCTCCTCCTCCTCCTCTTCCACCTCCTCCTCTTTCTTCTTCTTTGTAGGAAAGATGGATCAAAAGAGCCAATAGTGGAGATGAGAACAGAGGATGAAAGAATTACCAATCATGAAGATGGAAGCCCAGTAAATGAGCCAAATGAAACCACACCACTAACAGAACCTGAGTACGTAGATTGAAATGCTTAATAATTTTGGATAAGTTTTTGTAAATTTATAACACAGTATTATTTTTAGTAAATATTTACAAACGTGATCATTTGTGAAAAATAGTTGTTTTTCTATGAAACTTCATGTGACTATCTAAAATCCATTTCCTCTTCAGAAATTTCATATGAAATATTTGTATCAATGTCAGGGGAAATCTCCAATTAAAACATATGCTTAAATTTTATATAAGAATGTCAAAAGACATATTTTTGCATTAATCTCACTCTCTAAGAAAGTTATGCTTTGAAAATGTGATTGACTTTACTGAAATAAATACATGTCTAGAAATTAGTCATTGTTTTGAATATAAATATGACAGTTTATAATAGCAATATGTTGTATAATATTTTGTATAATAAATATACAAAATACTCTTAAAAAGAATATTTGTAAAGAGCAGGAAAACATACTGTTAAACTCTCATGTTAATATTTACATTGTAAATGGTGTTTGATCTCTATTCAAAATTATGTTATTTACTTCTTTTTGCATCCATCATAAATCCACTAAACCCATAGCAGGTATTTTAACCGAGCCTTTAATTATTATGAGCATGAGTCTAAGTTCATGTACATAAATATCAAAATGATTCAAACCAAAGGCAGTATTAATATGTAGAAAGAGTAATATTTTACAACAAAACCATGACTATCATACCATTCTTGAAATACTTCTCACCCAAATGACTCTTAAATTTCATTGTTTTACAAAACAAAAATTCCTTTTTCTTTATCAAGTAACATTTCCCTGCAGAAAAAAACCTGAGTTAGGCTTCTCATCCTAAATCAAATTCTGAATATTATCAGAGCTGACGAAAACAGTTTGTTTCAGAAATCCCCTCTATCTGTTTTCAAGGGATTGTAATGAGTAATTTATAAATAAGCTAATACAATGTACTATTATGTAGTTATTTTTTTTCATAGGAAGCATCAGGATGTTTTTAGTGATTTCATTTAGAAGTATTACATTCTGATTTGAAGTTACCGCTATTAGAAGTAGCAGGCATAAGGTGAATTTGATTGTTTCTTCTTCAGAAGTTATAAATTTTTAAATGAAGCAAAATATTACCCCCAAAACAAATTCCTGTGCATTCATTATCATAATATTATATGGATGGCCATGAAAATGAGTTAAGAAAATACCCTTGCATATGACAGACATATATTTAAAACAAAATCAAAAAGATGATTTAATAACTACTCTGGGACTCAATCATAGGTAAAATACTCAACAAAAAAACTATATCATTAAGAGTAATCTTTTTAAATTTACCATAAACATAAGTAGTAAATCTTTCTATATGCAAAAATAAACATTTCAACATTTAGTTGAAAACTCTAGTTAATTACAAACTCAATAACATAGTTCTTTGAATTAGAGATATATTAAGCCTATCCTAATTTCCCATGGCAGCATTAAATTTTTGTATGTTTTGATGGTAAAGTGACCTCTTGTTTTCACAATATTTTATTGTCAATGTTTTCAGTTAGTTGGGGATTGGAGAAAAGAAGAATTATGACTGCACTGTTTATAATGTACCTGGTCTGCAGGTACAGAGTAGATGCTACCTCATTTCCAGAAATAGATCTTACTAGATTTTGCCTATGAATTATTTTTGACAGATTAGTTTTCATATGGTAGCTTTTGTCTTTAGAATAAAATGGATTATCTATTCATTCTAAAATATAAAATAAATTGCACATAAATCTCAGGAAACCATTATAGTAGCTTTCACTCTTCCATAAATCAGTGAATTTAAAGTCAAAATGGTAAATTGGAATTCTATTTGTAACTTAATTCTTTTTTTTCTCCCTTGACAAAAATATTTTTGTCAAGGGAGAAAAAAAATTACTCCCAAAGCTATGTACACAAAATGTAATAATAAACCACTGAACTTAAGAGTAGTAACAAAACAAAACACAAAAATCTTGATTCATTGTCATCACAAGATTCATGAAATTGTCTTAAAATTAAGAGATAAAAGCCATGCCTGGCTGGCATGGCTTGGTGGTTGAGCATTGACCTTTGAGCCAAGAGGTCATGGTTCCATTACCAGTTAGGTTTGCAGGTTTGGTCCCAGTGTGGGGCATACAGGAGGCAGCCCATTAATGATTTTCTCTCATCATTGATGTTTCAATCTCTCTCTCTCTTCCTCTCCAAAATGAATAAGAACATGTTAAAAATGAAAAGTTGTGAATGATGATACACACTAACTGAAATTAATGATGAACTTGTAATCCTTTTACTCTTTAGAATATATCCCATGAAGAGTCAGTGATCAGAACATAATATTTTAAAAGTAACATACTAAATTATTTTTATTGGTTTCTCTATTTTTTACCCTGATGGCTTTTTAAAAAAATATTTATATTATTTTTCAATTACTGTTTACATTCAATATTATTTTGTATTAGTTTCAGATGTACAGCATAGTGATTGGAAAATTATGTGCTTTATGGAGTAGTTTTAAATCATTCTGTGTAAACTTTAACACTGAAAAAATTGATAAATATTTTAATGTTGGGGGGGGGTTGTTATTGCATCATAGATAACCATTGGAAACAACTCTGCAAAATGTTTATAAATGATAAGCAAGTAAAAATAAAATAATAGTAAATAGAGATCAAGTAAAGAAAGCAGTAAATATAAAAATGTACGAAAGCCCTGAAATACATTTATTTGCATTAAGTTCCAAAGAATATTGACTATTCATCCAGATTCTGATTAATGTAACAGAATATGGCAGCAACTATTGATTGTTTTCACTAGAAAAAAATTTAAGTCCTAGTAAATCATCCAGTGGACATATGAAAATGTTTTGACCTTTTTACATTCTAAAACACTGAATTATATTTTAATATTATCAATTCATTTTCAAATTTAAGCCACCTATAACAAATGATTTGGTGTATATAAATTTACAAATATATTATTTCCTTTATCATTGTTCATCACACCACGTTTTTACTGTGGGCACTGTGCTCTATTCCCTTTTACATTATATTTTGTCAATTTGGTAATACTTTAACAAAATCTGATTATTTTATTCTAGCAATTGTAACATATTACCTTCTACAAAACAGCAACATAATGTTACATAAAGTGTCTCAACACATGAAGTTTATTTTTTCTACATTTTCTTCCAGAAAATTGCCTTTAAAAGAAGAGAATGGGAAAGAAGTCCTAAATCCAGAAACTATAGAAATTAAGGTTTCTAATGACATCCAATCAAAAGAAGACGACAGCAAAGCATAACACTGAACTTGCAGAGGCGGGAACAATGCTACAAAGAGCATTTGGATTGCAGTGACCCTATGACCAAAACTATTCCATTGACCTTAATTTCTTGGGAAACTTCTAGCTTGGAATAGCTTGTACACATATACATATGATCAAATACTCCTGCCCATGGTCCATTTCCTCTGTTGTTGCTGTTGTTGTTGTTGTTATTGTCGTTTATTTTGTTAAGAAATTCTATATAGACACCTAACTGGCACCAACTCTCGGGTATCAATTTGACTCTATGGTTGAAGAACTGCAATTGATTAGATGGCTAAAGTGCTCTACTTCTTCAGAACTATATCTCATACCACAACCTCTCAAACCAATGGGTGTTTAAACAAAAGGAAACAAACAAAAAACTTTGTGAGCTGATTGTAAAAGAGAGCCCTGCATGTTTTCAATCCTGTATTGAGCAAATAGATTATTAAAGTGGGTTTCAGTTGAAGATGCGAACACTTAATAAAGGTTATACTGTTTAGGAGAATTTCAGGGAACCGGGGCTTGAATAAGCTAGCTATCTTTACCAGATATAGAAATGGATAGAGACTTTGGAAAACTGTTTTTTAGGTTATAGTTATGTTGATTTTTGATAAACTAAAGTGTCAGATTAAAATTGTTACCCACTTGAATGAATATTAGTTGTATGTAAAATTAGATTCGAAAGATTCCATAAATCTTTATCTCTTTCTATATGCCATATTCACTCACAGTGGATTACACACACACACACACACACACACACAAAATGTATAGCAAGTGAAAATAAGATTGACTTCTGCCCTCAGCTTCAAGTAATAAAGTAAATTGAAATGGGAATAATATCAATGTTGTCTTGATATATTTATAAATATGTGATTATCTTTTACTTTTAAATAAATTTAACAGAAAACAGGTCTTTAGCATTTCAGTACTTTAAACTGTATCTACAGATACATTCCCCCTCATTGTTTTAGATAATCTTTGTTTTAAAATTCATTTTTTAAGTGTTATAGGTCAATCACAAATGTAATTGGCTAATGGAAGTTAAAATCCTTAGTTTGGTTGAATTAGAAGTTAACATTTAAACATTTAAACATGCCATGAAAGTGTCAATGCTAAACAATTGAATTAATATCATCTTTTTATTCTGGATGTTGTTGCTAGAAGTCATTTTAAGATTTTGATAAACAACTTTGGTTGAAGAAATCCCTACGCTATTCAACACAAACTTTCTAATATTTATTGGTCAGGCCTATATCTGAATAAAGCACTTATCAACTTCCAAGCTATGCAAGCTCCCAGAGGTGAAAGACTGAAACATAAATTTCAGTTATATGTAGGGTAAGAGGAAAAAAAAGTATTTACAACTAGAGGCCTGATGCACAAAATTTGTGCAAGAGTAGGCCTTCCTTCCCTCTGGCTCTGGGAATTTGGGCTTCCTTCCCTCTGGCTCTGGGAATCTGGCTCGCAGCCCTGGCTTAGGCAGATAGGTCGTCTGGAAGAATGTCCAGTCTAATTAGCATATTACACTTTTATTATAGATTATAAATATACATACCATTGGAAGCAGGTTTTTAGATTCTTACCCTAGAGAGCCACAGGTTTGTTCAGGCCCCATCCTATTCATAATCTTTAGTATTCCAGGGGGATTATGGCTCAAATATTGACTGGTTGAGGGACGTGTGCCATCCTTTATTGTTGATAAGACATTGGAGGGAAGTTCTAACACTGCAGAGCAATCTGCTTTAGAGTTTCTAGTGACATAACCTGATGGATATTAAATGTAATGTTAATGCCACTTATGGACATTTTTATATACAAAGTGCTGGGAACTATCAGTCAGAGAGAGAGGGACCAATTTTCCAAAATGTTGGCTATCAGCCAGACAGAATCTGCCCATCGGCACAGTGTCACCGCCCTAATGTACAGGTCACAATGCGGGAATCTCTCCTTGCTATCTTTTCTGGCATATTCTGAAGAAAAGGAAAAGACTTCTGTGCCTACCTAAGAATTTTAGTTGGACTTCTCCAACTGGTCTTTTTTTGCTGGATTTGTTGCTGTTAAAATGATGCTTCCTCTTATCATCCTTTTGCTTTTTTCTACTGTTTGTTCGCCCTTTTGTATTGACGTGCTAAAACCAGTCAACATCCTTGTGCAAGGTAAACGGGCTTAGTGAAATGTCAAGGAAGCAATAGCCATGAATGCTAATTCTTCCTGCATAGGGCTACCCTATGTTAAGCTAGTGATGGTGAAGCAATTTGGAAAACTCGGAAAGCATCTTAGCATGTTTGCTACCGTGCTGTACTTCAAGAGCAGAGAAATCATCATAAAGAACAAATATTGTTGTAGCCCTTTTTTTTTTAATCACATTAAAAGTTATATTTCTCTCTTTTTTTTTTTTTTTTAACTTTCCTTGTAAAGCAACTTACCTAAATGCTACATATATATATTTGCTGTTGGATTTCTTGCCACTATGTGGAGAAAGGATCTGAGTTTAGGAGGTCATTGGGATCTAATTGTAGACTGTTCCAAGCGCACTGTTTCAATGGTCTGAGTGGTCCTTATCTCTTGTCTTTGAAACATATGCCCTGCTGGAGCAAGGCAATGCTGTGATAAACTTTTTTTTATGTTGTTGTTGTTATTGTTGTTTTTTTTTAAACATTTTTATGTGATGCTCCAAATTACTCTATTTGTAAAAGTGTCCATCTAAGAGATGGATTTTAGTAAACTGTAAACTATGAACAAGGTTGAAATCACATTTCCTGTTTTTCATTCTTATGGTAGACTAAAACATATTCATGTAACTAAATAAATATTATTTTTACTATTTGAGACTACTCTTAAGTGTTAGTATCAAATGTCAAAAGAGTTGACTGATTATGTGAAATAATCAGGACCTGTGGTAATTTAAACTTGAAGCAGAGATATCACTAAAAACATATTGGTATTTCTAGATAGGTTACGTGCAATTAGGCAATGACAATCTATATCCAGCAACGTAAGTCAGCATTTTAGCACATATATTGTTTCTAAAATGGGCACAAAATAATGTGTTAATGTATTTTACAATAATTTGCAGAGAAAGTTAATTAAGAATTGTAATTTCTACAGATTTATTTGTTACTTTCATGCATTGACATATTATTGTATTTGATACTAATGTCTAACATTCATATAATGCTGTTCAAGTTCTCCTTTATTTTTAATACTAATACCTAGCATTTTCAAAGACTATTTCATCCAGGAAAATTTACATGAACCTTAGTCTTTGAATTAAACATTTATATAAATAGGAGGATTTTATTAATCAAATTATTTATTTGAGTGCCAATAATTAATTATAATTTTATAATCATTCCTTTATTTTATGCTTCTTATTTTAAATAGTTAAAATGTATTTGTGCCTTTAGATTAGCATGACAGTCTGCTTTTTGAAAGATAAAACACAACTGCAATTTTTATTGACATAGTCTGCTCCTATCGGTGACAATTGAATAATACCATTTTAATTATGTTCAGTGAATAAGTGCAGTTCAAACTGCTTACCTGGAATACAAAATCTAAATATAACAAATTATACTGTACAATTTATTTCCACTTATGACAAAAAAATTCTTTGAATGCACAAAAAGTATATTTCATTTATTCTGCATTGTTCTAAATGATAATATATTATGAATATTGTTGAAATTGAGTATTACCAGTTGTAAAGCAATGCTAGGGTACATTATTATGGTGTCACTTGGGTCAACATTATTCCTGTTCTCCATTGATTTGGGAGAACAAATCATTCATTATTGTTGATAAGATAATCACTGATGAAAATACCTAAACTGAAGTGGTAAAAAAATAATAATCTCCATTCTTAATCTTAAAAAATATTAGAATAACATATTGCAATTATTTATTAAAATTGCAATGTTCTTTTTCATGGAGAATAATCTAAATGCTCAATTTCAATTCCTTATGAAGATATTTTTATAACCATATCCAGAATGCTTATTCAACAAATTTATGAGTAGGGAAAGATTTTTTTTAATGAGATTGTTTGTATTATTTATCTTTAGAGATAAAAGATTTGTATCCTATTAACCCTTTGAAGCATTATTACAATTTCTCTCACATTGAAATTGCATATGGATGTTTTAGCATATGCTAAAATTAAACTGTGGAAGGTCACAGAAATGAAATAATTAAATCTTTAAAAAAATTCAAGAAAGTATTCAACTCTTGGGCTTAATAATATTCTAAGATGAAATAAATATATGTGTAAATGAGAAAGTTATGAAAGGGCCTATGTGTAATAGTTGCTGAAGAAATATAATTTCCTCCCAGGTCCCTTGTCTTCTTTTTATAAAAATTGCATTTATCCATGTAGGTGCAGCTACTTTACAGCATTATATAGGAATACTAATTGATTAATTATTCCCCCTTACCATTATATTCTATATAATAGTTAATATTTATTTTATAACATTTAATATTCTTAGTAAAATAGTTCATTATTCACTATACAATTTTATCAATGGCTTAAACGCATTAGTTGGTACCTTCTTTTGAATTTTAATTTTTAAAAATATCTTTTAGGATTTAGGATACATGATGTTCATAAGTATTAATATGAAAACTTCCCATATACATTTAATATGCCCAGTTTTTTTTTAAATGAAAATATCTTTTGGCATCTGGTTTTAGAAAAGAATTAGCAAAACACTGACTGTTGGAGCATTTTAAATCACAAGCAGGCATAGAAAAATAAAGGAACAAAGAACCCCAGAGAATACAGAGAGGCAGACTTAACTTCTACCTTATGAAGAGGTCAGGACATGGTGTGAGAACTTGAGCAGGGACTAGGAACATTGCTTAGTGAACAATTAAAGCCAACTCTCCTGATGCAAAGGAGAAAACTAAGTGAAATCCAAAGGAGAAAGTTAACATTAGAACCTATGATTCCATTTTGCAAATAGGATTTTTTTTGTTTGTTTTTTATCAAA